CAGGGGTGTGGGCCGGGAGGGGAGGGGAGGGGAGGGAGAGCTAGCAGAGGAGGGTGGATACTATGTCTCCCCTTGGATCAGCCCAGTAAAGCAGATCACCCTGTTGGCTTCCTTTCCTAGTTACTTTCTAGCGCTGAGACTGACTCATCCTCTGCTGAGGGCTCTTTGAAAGGCTCCGAGGCTCCCTAATGGCACACTGGGGACAGCAGACAGGGACTTTGGAACATCTTTAATGACCATTTAGCATTTATCTCAATGGCACTTTCAGATCCCCCTTTAAAGGGGCCTTTCTGTGTCAGTTGTTTGGGAATGGGGAACATTCTTTGCCAGCTCTCTGAAATACGGGGGGTCGTAGATTTCAAGATGCCTTGGCCCAGAAAGTATCTGGTTCCAATGGGAAAGGTGGTCAACCAGAAGCCAGCATTTTTCTTTTTACATGAAGATTGACAAGAATGAAGACTTGGTCTTCTTGTTTGGGGGTTCACATACATTCAACATTAAACTTCTGTCCCCTCAGCTGCTGCTTCCATTTACTAAAATTAGCAACATGTTTACAAGTAATTATATTCGAAGAAGGATTTTAAAGTATTCTATTCTATGTTTAATGCTAAGGATGGTAAAAGTCCATTGTCTATATGTGGGGGTTTTTCCATTCTGATTTATAGAAAGTGGCTAGCATAACATCATTTATGATAAAGATTTTTTTTGTTACCTGAATTCATTAGATGCTATATAGAGATGTTATGGTTGGTTAAAAATGCAATACTTTCCTTCACTTCTAAAACAACAGTTGTGGTGTCATCCAGGTAGGACAGTGGGGAAGAAATGGTCCAAACACTAACTGAAGAGGGAGCTGAGAGGTTAAAATAAATAATAAATAATAGCCATGGACTGAAATTCTTCTTTGTATTTTTAGTTCATGGAGATAACTCAAAGAAATGTCATACAATCTTAGAGTGCTACCTTGGGCAAACGTTCTTTCTTTTTTTTTTTGACACTAACTTGATTTTGCCATTGCTATATTTTAAGTGTCTTTATGATGTGAGGCAGGGACCAATCCACACTAGTTTATGTATGCAACTTAAATTACTATTTTCTGAAATAATGATAGCCGTGTGATTCATGGTTTAGTAAAAATGATTTCCAGGGTACAAATTGAATTCTATTTTTACCGTTAAGAATTATCTTCAAAGAGAAAAGTATACAACTTTCATTGCATAGAAACAAACGAGTGCGGAAAATGTTCATCCTAACTGTCCAAGTACAGTAACATCTCTTCCAGATGATAAAGCCCACTAATAGTTCTTGTTAAAATTGCTGCATCTTACATAGTCACGCAGTCTTAATCAGTGGTTGCGAGTGAAAGGGGGCGGGTCTTCTTGGGTTAAATAAAGCCGTAAATAACTTAGGCTTCCCAAGAACATCTGTATGAAGACACAGCCCGGGAAGAGCGGAGGTTGAAAAAGCCTTCATTTCGCATGTGGCCAGGTAATCAGAGCGCTGCTGCAAGCTCCAGCTGGACTGGGTCAGCTGAACTGCATGGTATCATTAAGATATTGTCTAAATGTTGCATAATTACATGTGATCAAACTTTTGCAATGCCTACGGGGTAACCAGCCAGCCAGCCCACCAAATGGTAGCCTGTTAAATATTAGGGTATCTAACCTCTGAAGAGTGTCAGTTCCTTGTCCAAAAACCACATTTCAGTAACATTTTCCTAAACAAGTTATTAATTATTCTCAACACTCAAAGCTGTTCTTTTGAGGTTTGCTTATTTGAAGCTTAATTTTCTTTGTTACTCTTGACCCTCCTGTTACTGCTGCTAAAATACAGTAACAGCTTATCTAAGAGGTTACATGTTTGCGATGTCCTGGGTAATTAAACAACTGTTTTACTGGCTTTTGGCCAGCAAAATGCTAACAAAAGGGAAGTAAGGAAATCACCCTTAAGCGTTGCAAAATCATTTTTAGCTTCTACCTCCAAAGCTGGTTCCCAGAAGTTGGATGCTTCTAAAAATATTACATGTGCTAAAGAAGCTCTTCTCAATTTGAGTGATGATTAAAATTTTTCTTTTTT